TTTTTTTTTCAGAGATGGAGTCTTGCTTTGACTCAGGGTGGTCTTGAACTCGTGAGCTCAAGCAATCCACCTACCTCAGCCTCCCAGAGTGCAAGGATTAGAAGTGTGAGCCACTGCGCCTGTCCTAAACCAGTGTTTTTCAATCTTTTTGTCTCACAGCACACTTAAAACTATAGTTAAACTTCTGTGGCACACTTAAATTATGTTGATCCAAAAAAAGAGTAAAAAAAATATATTTGGGCTCCTATAGCTCAGTGGTTAGGGCACTGGCCATATGTTCCAGGGGTTCGAATCTGGCCTGGGACTGCTAAATAAAAAAAAAATAGCCGGGCATTGTGTCAGACACCTATAATCCCAGCTACTAGGGAGGCTGAGGCAAGACAATCACTTGAGCCTAGGAGTTGGAGGTTCTGTGAGCTATGATGTCACAGCACTACCAAGGGTGACAAAGTGAGACTCTTATCTCAATAAAAAAAAAATGCATATATATATTTACTATGCTTTGAATTTCTTTCAACAATAATTCCATTAATGATCTTTAAAATTTTTCAAGGCAGCCAGGTGTGGTGGCTAACACCTGTAATCCTAGCACTATGGGAGGCCGAAGCAGGTGGATTGCCCGAGCTCACAAGTTCATGACCAGCCTGAGCCAGAGCAAGACCCTGTCTCTAAAAAAATAGCCAGGCATTGTGGGGGGTGCCTGTAGTTCCAGATACTTGGGAGGCTGAGGCAAGAGAATCGCTTCAGCCCAGAAGTTTGGGGTTGCTGTGAACTGTGACGCCACAGCACTCTACCAAGGACAACAAAGTGAGACTCTGTCTCAAAAAAAATTTTTTTCTTTCCAAGGCATACCTAAAATCCTCTCACGGAACACTGGTTGAAAATCATGCATCTAAACAGTTTATATTCTCAAAACCCACCTCAGTCCCCTTCCAGGATCAAGCCCTGCATAGGAGAGAAGCTGCCAAGACAAGGCATTAAAAAATCTCCGTGTTGTTATGAGCATGCGTGGGGGTCGGGCACCTCTTTACCTTCGGCGCGGTCGGAGTGGCTGCGAGCTTGCCACTGAAGACCCTGGTGTCGCCATGGGCCGCCGCCCTGCCCGGCGTTACCGGTATTGTAAGAACAAGCCATACCCCAAGTCTCCTTTCTGCCGAGGTGTTCCTGATGCTAAGATTCGCATCTTTGACCTGGGGCGGAAGAAGGCAAAAGTGGATGAGTTCCCGCTGTGGCCACGTGGTGTCAGATGCGTACGAGTAGCTCCTCTGAAGCCCTGGAAGCTGCTTGTGTTTGTGCCGACAAGTACATAGTGAAAAGTTGTGAAAAGATGGCTTTCATATCTGAGTGCAGCTTCACCCCTTCTGCGTTATCCGCATCAGTAAGATGTTGTCCTGTGCTGGAGCTGACAGGCTCCAGACAGGTATGCGTGGTGCCTTTGGAAAGCCCCAGGGCACTGTGCCCAGGGTTCACATTGGCCAAGTCATCATGTCCATCTGCACCAAACTACAGAACAAGGAGCCTTTGCAGGGCCAAGTTCAAGTTCCCTGGTCGTCAGAAGATTCACATCTCCAAGAAATGGGGTTTTACCAAGTTTAACTCATGAATTTGAAGACATGGTGGCTGAGAAGCGGCTCATCCCAGATGGCTGTGGGGTCAAATACATCCCCAGTCGTGGCCCCCTGGGCAAGTGGCCGGCCCTGCGCTTGTGAGGACTTAACACTGTTGCCTATCAATTGTGCCTACCAATAATAAATCCTACTTTCTGTCAAAACACAAAAAAACTCCATGTTATAACTGTTATAAATAGTAAGTTAATTAAATAAACTCCAAATCTGAAAATTCATCCCTTACTCTATTTTCCATAACAATTATATTCAGCAACATTGTCCAATCTCATTGTCTAATGAGACTACTTGGCACCATTAAGATACTTTAACAGACTGAGCACAGTGGCTCAAGGCTGTAATCCTAGCACTCTAGGAGGCCGAGGCTGAGTTCAGGAGTTAGAGACCAGCCTGAGTAAGAATGAAACCAGCTCTCTAAAAATAGCCAGCCATTGTGGCAGGCACCTATAGGCTCAGTTACTTGAGAAGCAGAGGCAAGAGGATCACTGGAGCCTATGAGTTTGAGGTTACTGTGAGCGATGATGCCATGGCACTCTATGAAAGGTGACAAAGTGAGACTCTGTCTCAAAAAAAAAAAAAAAAACACTTCAACAATAAAATGTAGTCAACACAGAGACCCTCTCTCCCATTATCAAATTTTCAGGAAAAATCCTGAAAACGAAAACTTCATATAAATTATGCCCAAAGGAATTAAATTCACTTGGCTTTGCAATTTAAACTTCAAAGAAATCAATGTTCATAATTCATCTTCTCCATGGCTGGGTGTGGGGGCTCACATCTGTAATCCCAGCACTTTGGGAAACCAGGCAGATGGATTGCCTGAGCTGATGAGTTCAAGACCAGCCAGAGCCAGAGCAAGACTTCATCTCTAAAAAAATAGCCGGCGTTGTGGCAGATGCCTGTAGTCCCAGCTACTTGGGAGGCTGAGGCAAGAGAATCACTTGAGCCCAAGAGTTTGAGGTTGCTGTGAGATAGGGCACTCTACCTAGGATGACAAAGTGAGACTTTGTCTCAAAAAAGAATTTATCCTCTCCATATTTTACTCAATTTTTAATTAAAGAGGTTTTAAAGCAGTTACATCTTGGACAGAAATTTTGTTAGTTTAATTTCAAGTTTCTCCTTGAGCTTCTTAAGAGTCAAAAAGTAAATAAGACAAAATTATTATAGCTCCACCCCACAGCATCAAATTTAGAAAAAGCTATTCCCCAGGTTCTTACATAGTTAGTCTAAGAAAAATTATGTTCCCAGAGTCCATTAATTGGTGTTGTCAAATACCATCTCAGAGACTGTCAGAAGTGGGAGGGAGGAAAATTCTGAGTTTTAGCTTTACCAAGATGGTCCATCTGGTATGAGGTTCTGGAATTCATGAACTGTGAAAATAAGACATTAATTAGGAGATGTTGAATTTGGCACTTTGAATTTCCATCTCTGTGAGGAAGGTTTACCTGTCCACATCAACTCCTCTGTCATAAGTGATGGAGGGCAGTAGCATGACCATAGCTTATTGCAGCCTGACACGACTGGCCTCAAGCAATCCTTCCACCTCAGTCTCTTGAGTAGTAGTGAGGGCTATAAGCATGCACCATCTCTCCCAGCTAATTCTTTATGCATCTTTTTTTTTTTTTTTTTTTAAAGAAATGGGCTCTTGTTGTGTTGCCCAGGCTGGTCCTGAACTTCTGGAATCACTCAAGTGATTCTCCCATCTTGGCCTCCGAAAATGCTGGAATTTAATGGCGTGAGCCACTACCCCTGGCTGAAGTTTAGAATTTAATCGAGTTTAGGCTAGGTTACACTGTGATACAGAAGAACATCAAAATCTTAGCAGTTTGAAACAACGGTTTCTTTTTCACTCATACTCACATCCATAGAGGATTGGCAGGGAGTTATGATCACACTGTATTCACTTATGGAACTAAGACAATTGAATCTCAGTGGGTTTTTCCATGAAAAACCCATGGACAAGAGAATGTGACGATAAGATGTGCCCTGGCTTTTAAAATTTCCACCGGGACATAGTACCATCTCTTTCACTTCCATCGCCCTTACTCACATTCATGAGTAAGTCCAAGACATGTCATATGGACTTCTAACTTCAAAGGGGACGTGGAATGGTAATCCTGTCTTTGAACACCAAGTTCTTCCTCCTTTATTGCTACATTTTATTTATTTATTTATTTGAGACAGTCTCACTTTGTCGCCTTTGGTAGAGTGCTGTGGTGTCATAGCTCACAGCAACCTCAAACTCTTAGGCTCAAGCAAGCCTCTTGCCTCAGCCTCCCAAGTAGCAGGGGCTACAGGTGCCCACTACATTGAGTGGCTATTTTTAGAGACAGGGGTCTTGCTCTGGCTGAGGATGGTTTCGAACTCTGAGCTCAAGCAATCCACCAGCCTCAGCCTCCCAGAGTGCTGGGATTACAGGTGTGAACCACCATGCCGTTCTTAGTGCTACATTTAGAGTGAGTTTTGTCTACTACTGTTGCTTATGAAATATGTTGTAAGCCAATAATTTTAGTCCTTTGCCACATGCTGCTGTGACTACTTTCAATTATAGAATAGCTTAAGGCAATGTTTCCCAAACTGGTTTGATCAAAAGAATCTCATAGGAAGCCCGGAGTGGTGGCTCACGCCTGTAATCCTAGCACTCTGGGAAGCCAAGACAGGGGACTGCTTGAGCTCAGGAGTTCTAAACCAGCCTGAGCCAGAGAGAGACCTGTCTCGAAAAACAGCTGAGCATTGTGGTAGGTCCCAGCTACTGGGAGCCAACAGGATCATTTGAGCCCAAGAGTTTGAGGTTGCTGTAAGCTAAGATGTCCTGGCACTCTCCTGAGGGTGACCAAATGAGACTCTGTCTCAAAAAAAAAAAAAAAAAAAAAAAGATGATTATATCTGAATGTTTACCACAGCATAACTCATAAAAAACAATATACAGAATCAACCTAAGTGCCTATCAGCTGATCAACTGATGAGTAGATTAAAAAATGTCAGATACACACACACACATACATCTCTCACACTTTGGCACCCTCTGTGTGTGAGTATGTGCATGTAGACACATACATACATATACATCACAGAGTACTACTCAGCCATAGAAAGGAATGAAATAATATCATTTGTAGCAACCAGGATGGAACTGGAAATCTTTACCTAAGTGAAATATCTCAGGAATGGAAAAACCAATACCATATGTTCTCACAAATAAGTTAGAGCTAAAGGATGGATATACATAGTCATAAAGTCATGTATAGAACATTGAAAACTAATAGGGGGTGGGAGGTGGGTGAGAATAAAAACTATCTGTTGGGTACAATGTACACCATTCTGCCGATGGGCACACTAAAAGCTCTGACTTCAGCATTATACAATTCATCCACGTAACAGAAACACTTATACCCCCTTAATATTTTGAAATAAAAATCATTAAATAAAAAAAAATTGTGTCCTTTTTTCTGAATACCACTAACAATTCAAAGTTAGAACTTCTTCCATTCCTTAAAGAGCATATAGAACCTGGCTTGTAGTTTAAAAGCAACAAACACCTACAAGGATGTAATCCTGCCACCATCTAGGCTTCCTGCGTGCACAGCCTCTGCTGGGTTGGCCTCCCCTTCCAGGGTGAGGTTATGTGTCTAAGCTGAGGACCTCGTGGCCTCCAGTCCTTTGCTGAGGCCTGCTTTGGAGAAAACAGCCGCTCACCTATGGACCAAGACAGCATAAACTGCGGTGCTTCAGTTAGACTACCACGTGCTCTGAGGCTTGAAGTTTCTTACCAAGATTGCAGCTATTAAAAGACCATATAACTGCCAAGCTCAAAACATTCTGCCCACATGCTAAAGTCCACCACTCACACCTCTAAATTTATATAGATCCTCTCAATTCCAAGTTTTAGTTTTGATTTCTCAATATTCCTCAACATCCATCCAGTTGGAGGTCTTCAGACTTCAGAGTTACTCTCTCTTGCCAAATTTCAGGTTTCCCCATGGCCTGTGGGACAGAGGCTTTCTCTTGTGGGCCTTATGGCCAGAAAAAGAGCAATGAAGTCCAGACTATGTGGACAGTCTACAGGCTAATTAGAGAATTTTGGTTTTTTTTCTCTTTCTTTTCTGCTGTTGAGTCTTCCAAGCAAGGTTTATGCTCTACAAACTTAAGTTAGGTGAGTCACTCCACGTTCCCTAAGGGAGAGTGAGTACAGAGACAGAGAGGCCAAGGATTACATTCACTGGGTTCCCCTCTCCCTGGAAGAAATGAAAGCACAGAAGCAGCATTCTCTGCTAGCAGGGCAGCCCCCACCTTCTCAGTGAAGCAAGAGAAAAATGTGTGTCCTAAAAATATTTCAGGCGATGAAAGGTTTGAGAATTTGATTGAGGAATGTAGAAATTGGTTTAGAATATCTATTGTGAGGAATGCAATGAGGAATCAAAGGGAGATTAGTTATTAAAAGAAAAAAAATCCTAAGTATCCCTAGTGGTCTAGAGTTAAAATCCAAGTAGATCCAGGAAGTAATTAAAGCTTCAAGCCAGTGCGGTGGCTCATGCCTGTAATCCTAGCACTCTAGGAGGCCGAGGTGGGTGGATTGGAGACCAGCCTGGGCCAGAGCTAGAGACCTCATTTCTAAAAAATAGCTGAGTATTGTGGCATGTCACATTACTAATGATCATAGCTAGTTGTAACAAAGTAAAGTGAAAAGTCTCAATAAATAGTTAAATCTTGGTTGCTTGGTTTGTTTCACGTTAAACATTGAGAATCAAGCCCTTAACTCTCTAAATAACCACTTATGAGATATGTAGTACATAACATAACATTTTCTTTTCTTTTCTTTTTGTTTTTTTGAGATAGAGTCCCACTATGTCGCCCTTGGTAGAGTGCCATGGTGTCACAGCTCACAGCAACCTCAAACTCTTGGGCTTAAGTGATTCTTTTGCCTCAGCCTCCTGAGTAACTGGGAATACTGGCACCTACCACAACCCCAGCTATTTTTGTTGTTGTTGTTGTTGTTGCAGTTATCATTGTTGTTTGGCTGGCCCGGGCTGGGTTTGAACCCACCAGCCTGGGTATATGTAGTTGTCACTGTAACCATGGCACTATGGGCCACAGCCAACATACTATTTTCATTCCCAGAATAAAACTATAACACTTTCATTCC